TCCTACTACCACCACCACCACCACCACCTCCTCCTCCTCCTCCTCCTCCTCCTCCTCCGCCTCCTCCTCCTACCTCCTCCTCCTCCTCCTCCTCCTCCTCCTCCTCCTCCTCCGTTGGTTACTCCTACATTTATCACTCCTCCTTTACCTCCTTCCCTTGTTCCCTCCTTCCTCGTTGCGTGAAATTCTCTTCAGCGCTCGGAGACGCTGGTGTCAACTATCACCACTTGAGGTGAGACAAGAGGAGGAGCAGAAGGGGATAGGGAGAAGGAAAAAGAGGAAGAAATGTGATGAGACGGCGAGAACAAGGACGAGGACGACGAGGAAGAGGAAGAGGAAGAGGAGAATGAGGACGAGCACTTGAATGGGAGGAGGGCGGGAGACGAGGACGAGAAATAAGGAGGACGAGGGCGAAGAGGTCGGGGAGAGGAGCAGGAGCAGGAGCAGGAGCAGCAGCAGGAGAGGCAGGAGCAGCAGGAGCAGCAGCAGGAGAGGCAGGAGGAGCAGGAGGAGTAGGAGGGTGTAGTTTGCGGTGATGGCACTGAGAAGGATCTGCAGCAAACTGCAGCCACTCGGTTGGGCTTTGACGAGAAGTCTTGGGATGAAGACAAGGACGGGGCAGACTAGCAGGAGCAGGGAGAAGATGAGGACGGAGAAACGAGAGGGGCCAAGGAGGAGGGGAGAGAGGGGAAGGAGGAAACCAAGGACGGAGGGAGAGAAGGAAGGGAGGGAGGGAGGGGAGGGGAGTGAAGTGACAAATTTCGCCATCCATTCTCTAAATGTACAGCAAGTGGACTGAACTTGATCGGTCCCCCTCCCCGTTCTCAATCCTGTATCCTCTCACACTACAACCACAGCTACACCAACATCAACACCCCCTTCCTCGTCCTCGTCCTCGTCCTCCTCGTCCTCGTCCTCGTCCTCGTCCTCCTCCTCAATCTCCTCCTAGTCTGTGTCCTTGTCCTCGAAAGGCTGAAAAGCCTCCGGCACGGGCAGGTGGCTCCTGCTGCTGCTGCTGCTGCTGCTGCCCCGCTGCTCCTCGTCCTCCCCATGGCGGCGCTCCTCCTCTCCTCACTGCTCCTCCGTACCCGGGCGTGTGTTCCAGCGGCTGATCCTCCACCAGCCGCTTGAGGAACGAGGGAGCCTGTACGGAGTGTGAGCAGCAGCATCAGCAGCAGGCCCGAGGGATATGGAAGAAACTGGAAACCTGATTCTAGGGGACAGAAAGGAAGCAAGCAGGGAGGGTGAGGGTGGGCGAGATCAGGAGGCAGGAAGTAGGAGGGAGGAAGGGGGAGGAGAAGGCAGGAGCTAGGAGGGAGGAAGGGGAACGACAAAGGAGGGGAAAGGAGCAAGATGGAGGAGAGGGTGGGGAGGAAGGGAGGAGGGAGGAGGGAGGAGGGAGCAACGGGACACAAGGCACGCACAGAGAAGAAACGATGATCCTTAGTGGTAGGATGGACCTCCTTGAGGAACCAGTAGACATGCCTGATGCAAGGGCATCAGAATAACGCGCTGGAGCAGAGGTAGGAGAGAGGAGAAGGAGCAGCAGCAGGTGATAGTGGTTGAAAAGGAGGAGGAGGTGGTGGTGGTGGTGGTGGTGGAGGAGGAGGAGGAGGAGGAGGAGGAGGAGGAAGGGGCTACCCGACAAAGTATCCCATGATATTCTGGACTGGCGAGCCTCCCATGAGCATAGTGAGGACGAGGAGGAAGATGGGAAAGTGAGCTGAGGTGATGTTGAACAGGCCAAAGACGCTCATCTGAACGTTAGGATGCTTTCGGCTCCTGCAGAAAATGTCAGGGAGAGAAGAAGAGAGGCGAGGAGAGGAAGAGAAGGAAGAGGAGGAGAGATGAGAGAGGGGAGGAGAGAGGCGGAGCGGAGGGAAGGGGAGAGGGGAAACGGAGGATGAGGAGAGAAGGTATGGGTGGACATGTTGAAAAGTGTTTGTTGATGTAAAGAGAAAGTTATGATGTCATGATGTCTCAAATCTTGCTGAATGAGGTGTAGAAGGTGCGAAGACTTGACATGGTCCGTCAACACAGGAGAGCGTGCAGAGGTTGCTGACAACAGCGATGAAGCAAACAACCACCGGCAGAGGTCACGAAGCAAGGAGCAACATCAACGAGTTACAAGTGATCGTCTCACCAGATCCAGATGGTCATGAAGATGAGAGGGATCGTAAGGAAAGGAAGCATCATTCCTGCGCCCCTCAACACCGTCACTTCTCCATCTCCTCCATCTAACCTCCTCACCTGTCACGTGGTTGATCCCGCACAGCAACGCCCCTCCCATTATCAGGCACCAACTACCCGCACGTCAGCCCCGTAGACCCCCAGCAGACGTCAGGGCGTACAGAAAGTCGGAGGCGCTGCCGTTGAAATCTTTCTCGAGCGTCTTGGAGTACTGGACCCTGCAGCGAGCGAGTCAGCTGGCAGCCAGTCGGGGCCCGAGCCGCGAACATGAAGATGAGATTCATGATGAAAGGCCAGCCGAACTTTCCAAGGAAGCAGAAGTTCGTGACCACCCGCCAGATCTCCTTGACATGTCAGCAGCTGCTCGCAGTCTGCTCTCCTCCTCACCTGGAACTTGAACAAGATCGCAGACCAGTCAAGGTACAGTGTCATCGGACTGATCTGCAGGAGAGGTCAGTGAGCGAGGAGCTCCTCGTGCGGCGCATTCCGACCATTCCGACAGCGGAGAGGATGGTGGTGCTAACGCATGCTGTGAACCAGCACCTTCCCGATTCGTCAGGCATGAGGAGAAGGCAAGAAGGGAAAGAGAGAGGGAGAGGAGGATGCGAGAAGAGGAAGGGGAAATAAGAGGAGACAGGAGGAGTCAGGATTGGTCAGGAGGAGGGGCAAGAAACAAAAGCAACAGACCTTGTGATGAGCGGCAAGCTCATATACCATGCCTGTCAACGGCAGTCACAGCACTGTCCTTCCCCTCCATCGTCCCCTCTTGCTCTCCCTCGTTATCCTCCTTCATCGCAATCACCAATCTCGCATTATTCCCACTCATCTCCATTCCCTCTCCTCATCATCTTCTTCATCGCAAGCAACGTACCTGAGGACTGTCAGCTGCTCCCTGTCCTGGAGGCCCCTGTGCTCCGAAAGGCATCTGACAGTTAACTGTCACATGGCTCCCTTTGCTCTTTGCCCTCTGCGCTGCCTGAAGGTAGATTGTTTGCCGCGTTTTCAAGCACAACATAACAATAATTTTGATATCATTCTCGATATCCTCTTTGTTACACACATTCAATCTTCATTATTTTCCAGGCTATTTACTGCATTGTAGCGTCTACAACTGTTCTGCTGTTCCTGCTGCCCTCACCCCGGTTCCTCTGCTCCTCCTTGTCCTGGTCCTTGTCCTGCCCCTTCTGCTAGTTATGCTCCTCTCCCCGATCCTCCTGCTAGTCTTTCTCCTGATCCTGATCCTGCTCCTCCTCCTCCTGCTGCTCCTCCTCCTCCTTCACGTCGCTCCTTCACGTCGCTTGTACTCCTCTTGCTTTCAGCTAGGCGCTTCCATTCGCTTCTTTGGCCAGCGCACAAATCAAACTAAACCTCACTGAACTAAGACCTATCGGTCACCGCATCACTGAACTGAGAACCGGGTTAGCCGGCCGGGTCGGGACCGGGCCCGATGGGGCGGGCCCGGGTACTGAGAAAAGGGACCCACAATGACCGAGCTGTAAAGGGGGTGGTGAAAAGATGATGGAGAGTCACGTTACTTCCACCTGAACAACGGGGGTGGGTACTGATCAGTAATCTAGAGGGTGGTATGAGTATGTAAGGGTGGGGGTACGGGGAATCTTAGAGAATCTTTGGGGGAGAGGGGGGTAGGGGTGTACAGATCATGTTAGAAAGGGTCCTCGATCAAGTATGGGACACTTTTTCACTGCAGGGGTGATACCCAGAAAAATTAGGGTAGGGGGGTACCATTTTATACCAAGTACCCACGTCTTCTATTGAAAATATCTATCCATGATGGGGTCGACATGGGATACGTGGGGTCCTATGACATTCTTGTGGGGTAAGGGTACTTGTTCCCATTGCGAAAAAACTCGGGATCAGGGACGGGAGGTACACGGGGGTAGGGTACTAGAAACAAAGGGGGCCGGGTTGGGTACAAGAGGGGCAGAGGGTGGGTAGTTCATGTAGTAAAAGTCTTTGTTGGACAAGCGTAATACTTTTCAACAATGGAAAGGGGGTGGGTTATGCATCTACCGGTACTTGATAGTTTTCAAATTGCCATCAGATGGGGTGGGTGGGTGAGATGGGGGCAAGGGGGTCATGGAGAAGATTCGGGCAGTTGTGTTCAACGTGGAAGATGTCGGCATATGAGGAGGGTAGGGGTGGTAATTATTTGTCATTGTACCCGTGTATTTGTGTATTGATAGATGGGTACTTAGAAAATATGTGGGGTAGGGGTCAGGGATATGGTTTGATTTGGGGTAACAAGCTGAACGAGGCCGATCAACAATCTCCTTTGTCGTGGGGGGTACTGCTCATGGGGTCTTCCACGAAAAGGGTGGGTGGTCATGAAATATATCTTTGAGTTGGGGGTGGGTTACAGGCACATGGGGGTTGGCATTTAGACATTCTGGGAATGATAATTACAAGTATATTGGGTGGGGGTACTCTTGGGAAAAAGGAAGGGTATCATAGTTGTACCTCAAAATTACTTTAAAAAAGATGGGGTAGGGTACAAACAAACATGGGTAGGGGTGAAGAATTTCAATATGAGCAAGGAGTCGTCCAACTTTGTGGGGTAGTGTAATGTCATTGGGGGTGGGGGGGTGGGGGTTATCGGGGGAGGGGGCAGTCATCTGGCACGCTATTATGCCAGTACTTCAATGAGGAGGGGGTAGGGGGTGGATCAATATAGGTGGGGTGATATCATCTTTGAGGGTGGTTTCTTCTGCATTTGTTTCTGGTCGAGGGGTGGGGTCATCAAAGCAGGGGTGGTGAATGACAAACATGGGTAAGGGTGAAGTGTGTATTCGTGTCCGTGGGTCGAGATGAAACATCTGAAAACATCTCTGTGTTTCATCAAACATCATCTACTAAATTACAATTTATAACTAGGATATTTCATTATACTTTCCTCAAATTCTTGATTGTGAAGGCTGGTGGACGAGCGGACAGAATTAGATGGTGGGGGTGGTACCTCAATCCTGAGTTTGATTAGGGTGGGGTTACAAATACCGGTGCTTGGAACATCATATGTCCTGGTGCACGAGTGGGGTGGGTGAGTGACAGGGTAGGGGGTGGTTGGAGGTTGGGGTGGGAAGGTCAGGGTACGGGCTTGTGTGTGCGGGAGGCACAAGCATGCCGAGCGAAATGACAGCAAGGGAGGGAGGAGGAGGAGGAGAAGGTTGGGGCAGAGGAGGATAAATGCGTGCGTATCAGCATAGAAGAGCATATGAAAATTGCCAAGTGTTGTTTGCTATGGATAGTTTCACCATTCCTTGATCACTACATCATGGAAGGACATTTTTTGAGACAGGATTTCTGTCAGGGATCAACGAAGCAGGGCATCAAGTAAGAAGATTGAAGAGAAAGTTGGCAGGATTTCTCACATAACAGCAGCGGGAATCTAGGGAGCCTTTAATGCATGCGATTCTCATGAAGGGCCGAACGATGTAGCATGCAGTTGAGAAAGGAAAAGATTGAGGGGACGTGAAAGGGAGTACCTCTATTAGGTGTTAGCCCGGCATGCATGGAGTATATCAGGTCGAGATTTCTAAAGAGTTTCTACACCTATGTGAGGGGGGGGGACAGAAACAGCAGAGCAGCCGTTGAAATTTAGCTTCGCACGTGACTGGCAGTGGTCGTTACAGTTTGTTTTGAGCCTTAGATCTGCTTGAAGCAGATAGTCTTGTTAGCGCTATTAGGTTTCGAGCTGTTCAATGTTTATAATTTCGATCACACACTATATCTTTCAAGATGTATGTTCTGTGCTGGCCATCTTTCAGTTTGATGTTCCACTTGGCTTGTCTAACGTCTTGTCGGCAGTTTGTTCCAGCTCGGGATCTTATATGTTTTGGAGCAAGTGAGAGATCGAGGTCTCAGGAGATTATGGAACAGATTTCAAAGGCGACGAGTCGAGGAAGGAGGGGAGACAGGAGGTTGTCAGTTCGTCCCACGATCGACCTATCTGTCATGGACTCGGGAACGTGCAGTAGGGGACAGGAAGTGGAGGAGCGGGATAGGAGCGAGGGGCAAGCGCAGGAGCGAGGGGGGAGAGTCATGGCATCGTCGACTTCATGCAGGGTCAGAACAAGCAGGATGGTGCTGCTCTGCACTTCGATGCTCCTCCTATCGTCGTCTCCTATCTCACGAGCGTGCAAGCCTGCGTTCCACGACCATGGTGGGGGCGTTGTACCACTCTCAGTGCCCTCCGCGTCTCCTCCCTACTCGGCCTTTGGTCCGCAGCTGCATCCTTCTGCTTCCTACCCGTCGACAGGGAAGAAGGCAGAGGATGTGATTGTGCATCACAAGGAGAAGCTGGGATCAGAGCACGCTGTCAATGTTATTCTCGGAGACTTTGTCGGTGAAGATGTACAGGTAGGAGGAGGAGGAGGAGGAGGAGGAGGAGGATGTGGGTGAGAGTTGGACTAGAGAATGTGCATGTGCATATGTGAGAGAGGAGCAGGAGGGAATATAAAGTTGTGAGAGGAGGAATTTTTGATGGGGATAGCTGACGAATAGTCAAGAAACTGCAGGGAGGGAGCGACGCGGAGGCCCTCCTGGAGGACCTGAAGGTCAAGAAGACCGAGAAGAAGCTGCTGGGCTCCAAGAGCACAAAGACTGGCTCTTCCCAGCTGTCAGCCCCCAAGGTTGTCAAGACTGACATGTTGACGTTTGACAAGCTCGCTGACTTGCATGTCCAGCTGGGGTTGGACTGTGGATGGAGTTGCATCCCCCATCCCCTGAAGGTGACAGGCTCTTTCCCCTCCTTTCCTCTTCCTTGTGCCCTCTGCTTCCTCCTCTTGCTCTCTCCTCTCTCCCTCCCACCTGAGTTTCTCGCTCCTCATGGACGCGGTCGCGTTGTGACATGATTGTTTGTAGGTTCATAGGGGGGGAGAAGATGTGCACTTCGTGCATCGGATTAAGGTTTCTTCCACCCCTCTCTCTTCCCCTCCTGCCTCCCCATGCTCTCTCGCCATGCTCTTCCTCCTTCTTCCTCTTGCTCTTCCATCCCTCCTCCTCCTCCTCCTCCTCCTCCCCTCTTCTCATTTCTGATTTCTGATTTCAGGGCGTCACCCTCCTTGGGGTCTGTGATGGAGTTGGGGGATGGGCAGAAGTTGGTAAGAGGCAGCAGCCCTGGAGGCAGAGGAGGAGGAGCTGAGAAGCGGCAGGTATCGACCCTGCGGAATACGCGCGAAAGCTCGGAAATCTGCTGGAGGCGAATCTCCGAGCAGATCCTTCGATTGTCGAGAAGTCGGTGAGAAGAGAAGAGGGGGGAGGGGAGCGCGGGAGAGAGAAGGGGAGGCTGATGGAAGAGGAGGAGGCTGATGCTGATGGGACAGGAACGACCTCTGTACGAGCTCCTTCACAAAGCTCATGTCGCACTAGAGGAGGTGAAGCATGAGGAGACGCGCGACCCCAGCTGACGTGGAGCAGGAGAACCTCGCGGGGTCTTGTACTGCTTGCCTTGCACTCCTCACACGGGATGGGAAGGTAGGAAGAGATGAAGGAGGAGGAGGTGAGTTGACTCTTGTCTCTTAGCTACATGTGTTGAATGTTGGAGATTCCGGCCTTCATATCATCCGCCAAGGGGCTTCAGGTGACAGAAACGAACATCTCTCTCCCTCCCTCTCAACCTCGCTACCTCATACACACTCTCTCTCTACCTTGCATTCCTTCAGCAGCACGTCCTCCTCTTCTGACTGTTCTGTTGCAGTTTTCGAGACTCCTGAGCAGCAGCATTACTTCAACTGCCCGTATCAGGTGCCTCCTTGCCCTTCTCACTCTCCCCGCAGTCTTCACCTCCTGCTTCTTTCAGCATCTTTCTTCTCCTCTCGCTGCTGTTACTTCCTCCTCTCCCCCCTATTCTCTTGTCGCTCTCGACCCGCTGACTTTCTCCTCAGTTGGGCATGGGCAGCGACGATACTCCTGGGGACGGAGACTACTACATCCTAGAGAATCTCCGCAACGATGATCTCCTGGTACCTCATCCTCCCCCTCCCCCTTCTCCTTCTCCCCCTCCTCCGTCCTCCTCCTCCATTTCCTTTTTTGTTAGCCTCCTCTAACTTGCTTGTGTAGGTTCTTGCGACGGATGGGGTGTGGGATAATGTCTTCGACGATGAGCTCATTCAGGCGATTGAAGAGGAAACAAACAATGGGTAAGTCCTCCCTCCTTCTCTTCCCTCCCTCCCTCTCCTCCTCCTTCCTCTCCTCCTCCTTCCTCTCCTCCTCCTTCCTCTCCTCCTCCTTCCTCTCCTCCTCCTTCCTTCCTCTTCTTCTCTACCTCGCTGGCCCATCTTCCTGTTGCTAGAGTCTCTCTGCTCCTTTCCCCTCCCTCTTTCCCTCTCTTGCCCCTCTCACTGTCCTCAGGGGGTCGACGGAGAGCATGGCGAGGACAATCTCCAAAATCAGCCACCTGCACGGGAGAGACGTCAAGTACGACAGCCCCTTCGCTCTGAACGCCCTCAAGCAGGTGAGGAGCGGGAGGAGGAGGAGGAGGAGGAGGAGATGGTGACTGTTGGCAGGGGTTGCGGTATACGGGAGGAAAGCTTGACGACGTCACTGTTATCGTTGCGCGGGTGCTGAAGACAGAAACGCAGGTGAAGCAGCAGCATGGGAGAACGAGGGAAAGGGGGGAGAGGAAGGGAGGAGCAGGAAGCGGAGGGAGGAGGAGGATGGGGAGAGTTAAGGGACTGATGAATTGCAACAGGGGGAGGTGTATCCGGAGCTGAAGCAACGAAAGCTTACGAAGCTGAAGAAACTCTCTTCTCCTGTTTCATCTGCTGAGTCGTCGGGGGAGTAGGAGGAGGGAGAGGGAAACGTGCGGACATGGGAGGAAGGAGGGAGGGAGGACTAAGAGATCGATGTGGTGTTGAGGTCTAATTGTAAGAATACTTGGTTCTAGTTTCATGTACATTAAACTGAAAGAATAACAGATGCGCATGTGCTGGACGTCAGTCAGATGGTGGAGGAAGAGAAAAAGGGAAGGAAGAAGTGGGAGAGCAGGAGGGTAGGGAGGAGGAACAGAAGGAGAGACAGTTTCTGACTGACCTGCGGCTACTTGACAAGGTTGGGCAGCATGTGGTTGACCACCAGAGTTTCGAGTTTCTGCCAGGCAGTCAAGCAACGACAAGAGGGGAGGAAGGGGAGGGAGAAGCGAAAAAGTAGAAGAGCGGGGACAAGAAACGAATGAGGGAGTAGAGAAGCTGAGACGCGATGAGCAGCAGCAGCAGCAGCAGTAGCAGCAGCAGCAGCAGGGTCAGCAGCAGCAGCAGGGTCAGCAGCAGCAGCAGGGTCAGCAGCAGCAGCAGGGTCAGCAGCAGCAGCAGGGTCAGCAGCAGCAGCAGGGTCAGCAGCAGCAGGAACCTGGGCAAGGGTGAGGTAAGGGTCGAGGATCTTGTAGCAGGCGATGCCGCAAAGAGCCTCGCGGAACTCGATGTAGTCCATCTCCCTCTCATCGTCTCCCGACGTCAGGTAAGGTTGCTTCCACCTCAGTCAGCAGCGAGCGAGAGGAGGAGCGAGCAGGACGAGGGCAGAGGATTGACAGCAGGGGGGCCACAAGAGGGAAGGAAGAGGAGCGAACGAGGGAAGGGATCGGGCAAGAGGAGGCAGGAGGCAGGAGGCAGGAGGCAGGAGGCAGGAGGCAGGAGAAGGGGACACCTCGTCCTTAGCGGAGGAGTCATCTTGGACGTAGATGAAGATGTTGATGATGACGTTGACCGTCAGGTTGTTGTCCATCACCTTCATGTCTTGCACGAACTGCATGAACTCCTTGAGATTCATGACCATCGACGAGTCTTCCACCAGGTCCGTTGTGTCCTTGGACGAGTAGTCCTGCTCCCCTGTCAGCTCCCGCACATGCCAGCATGCCGCACCTGGAAGATCTGCAGCAGCATCGTCGAGTAGTTGAGGAAGACGCGGTGGACGGCCGGGGCGCGGGAGGCGGAACGGAAGTGTTCAGTCTCCTCCTTGTTGCCGAACGTCTTGATGTTCCTCACGATCCTCTCGTAGGCTAACGGCAGCGACTGCTCCGTCCTCGTGCTGAGGATGAGCGCGAGGCGGATGAGAGCTTCGATGAGGTCGTTGACCTCTAGCTCGTCCACGCTCGCCTGCCCCTTCCTGGGGTCGAGGCGGATCAGCGTCTTGAGGAAGACCTGGTTCGCCTCCAGCGGCTTGATCGCCAGCCCCTCCTCCCCCTCCTCCAGGATGTAGGCGTCCCGTAGCAGCAGCTCCCATGCAGAGATGCTCATGGTGGCTCCTCCCATGCTGGAAAGGCGTCAGGAAGGGGGAACAAGGAGAGGGAGGGAGGAGGGAAGGGAACTGGCGGGAGGGAGGGAGAGGAAGGGGGATCTACAGGAGGGGAGCAAGGGGAGCAAGGGGAGCAAGGGGAGCAAGGGGAGCAAGGGGCAACCTCTCGAGCATGGAGGAGTTCTTCCTGTATAGCTTGCAGTAGTAGCGGAAGACCTTCCTGAGGGTGCTGTAGTGCGTCACCGTCAGCTCCGCGCACTTCTCGAGCCCCTGGATGGCCTCGTGGTAGAGCATCTTCTTGACCAGGTCGTCAAGTTTCTCCAGCGATATGTTGGATATCATCCTCCTCATCTCCTTGGTCAGCTTCTCAGGGTTCAGCTTCCCCGGCACGAAGTCCAGCACGTTGCGGCGGTTCCCCTGCTGGGACCCAGCTGACTTGTCCCGCGGGCTGCCCTGCGTGCTCATCCACTCCTTGAGCTGCCATGCCTTGTAGTTGGAGCGCTCCTGGAGGTGGTACACCCCCCTCCTCTGGATCTCCGTGTACAGCCGCACCTGCTCGTGCAGCTCCTGGTGGACCTCGAGGAAGTCGGAGTGGGAGGACTGGAGCTGCTCTAGGATCGCCTTCATGTCTTGCAGCATCAGCTCGGCCGAGGTCTTGTCAAAGGTCGAGTTTGACGTCACCACTGTTGGCATCTTGGCCTTGAAGATCCGATGGTTGTCGCGCACCTTGTCTAGCAGCTCGTTGAGGCTCGCCTCGCGCGTGTACAAGTCCTTGCCCTTGCCGTACAGCGAGCCGTCGAGCCTGTTGGTTGTGACCATGAGCAGCATGAGAAGTTCCGCTCGGAGGGGGACGGAGGAGAAGTCCGAGGAGAGCCACTTGGGGTCGGAGGTGAGGAGGGACAGCATCTGAGAAACCTTGGGGAACAGAGCCCTGCTGTTGTCTCCCTTCACCTCCACCGCCGACATGCCCCGCAGCTCCTGCGGCTTCGCCTCGTCTGGCAGGATCTGCAGGAGACAGTCAACACTCGTCAGCTCGAGTTGAGGTACAACGGCTAGAGAGAGGGAGGGGGGGGGGGACGAGGAGAGGAGAGGAGAAGCAGAAGAAGAGAGGAGAGGAGACAAGGGCAGGACAAGGAGAGGAGAGGAGAGGAGAGGAAGAAGTAGAACACGAGAGAGAGACAAGAGTCACCTGCAAGACTATCTGCAGGAGCGAGAGCTCGTCAACGTCTTGAATGTTTCGGAACTTGGAGGACCAGTCTTGAAAGAAGTTGTCCTGCCATCTCCGTCAACCCTCACCTCATCCTCCATCTTCCTACTCCTTCCCCATCCTCCTCCTCCTCCCCTTGCTTCTTCCTCTTCCTCCCACATCCTCGTCCAGCTTCCTTCTCCTACCTGGGAGCGGACGACCCTGAGGTGATAGTTGGCCCATCGCAGCAGCAGGTCGACGATGGGGATTTCGAGGAGATTGGTGCTGGTTTCGTTTCGCTCGAGGAGGAGCCGGACGTTGGGGGAGGAGAGAAGAAGGCTCCTCGTGCTCTCGCAGTAGTGCAGGTACATCTTGTACGCGTCCTCGACAGCCTCGACGGCCACCTGGACCATGGACGCGGAGGTCTCGAAAGCCTCTTTCATCACGAAGTTGGAGATGTCGCTGCTGATGTCCTTCTTCTCCGCTTCCTGACTCCCCTCCCCGCTCTCTTGGATGGAAGGCTGAGCTGCCGACGGTGCCGCTGGCGGAGCTGTGGAGGAGGAAGGAAGAGCTTGAAGAGCGGGAGCCGGGAGAGCTTGAAAGGCTGCCTTGGCCGCTTGAGAGGCAGAGTGAAGGAAGGCAGGCTCGGAGAAGGAGGGGATCTCCTCCCGGGCATAGGACTGAGAGGATACCACGTGGCCTTGCAGCAGCTTCTCGCGCAGCTGCTGCAGCTCTTGGAACAGCAGCGACTCCTTCTTGGCTCTGTCTTCTCTCTCATGCTCGAACTCGCTCTCGACCGTCTGGATCCGGAGCTTGTACCCCTCCAGCCTCGCGGTCGCGTGCTCCACCTCCTCCTCCAGCTCGAGGATCCGTCTCTCATCTCGCCTCGCTGCCTTCTCGGCTTGCTGGATCCTGAGACAAGCTGAGAATCAGAGCTGCAACAGTTGCAACACCAACGGATGCATCAGGTCTGCAACAGCAACGGCGTCACCTGGAGTTGATGGAGTGGACAGTCTCCGTCAGGAGTTGGTTCTCAACAAACAAGGGAGTCTTGTCCAAGAGAAAGTTGAGCCTCGGGCCCGCCAGGTCCTCTGCCTCTATCCCCGAGTACACCGCCTTCAACAGCTCGTTCCGGATCTGCCGAGAGACTGAGCGAGCAGCAGGTAGAGGGGGCAGCCACCATCCGCAGGAGAGGCGCGGCAGAGTTGCGGGAGTTGGAGAGCTTGTCGAGCAGCTCAAAGGCGAAGGCAATACGGAGAGTCTCAGTGTTTGCCTCCTCTGCCGTAGAGAAATCCGCGTTGCCTGATGTAAGAGTTTCAGTCCCTGGGGGAGGAAAAGAGAAGTAGAGAGGAGGAGAGGAGAAAGAAACGAGAAGGAGAGAGCCGGAAAGGGAGAGAGGGAGAGAGGGAAGAGGGAGAGAGGAAGAGCGAGAGGGAGGGAGAGAGCGAGAGAGAGAGAGAGCGAGAGAGCGAGAGAGCGAGAGAGGGAGAGAGGGAAGAGGAGGGTCTGACCGTTGGCTGTTGGGCCCGACCTTGTGAGCTCTTTGAGCTTCACCTCAGCGAAGTTGCTGTCAAAAGGACTCAGACATGAGCAGAGCAGAAGCTCGTCGACCTGCTGGACTGAAACTTCTTGTCTACGCTCAAGTCTCTGAACCACCTGCCCATAGTTGAGGTCAACAAGTAAGGCTAGCACAACTCAGCGCTCACTGCTCGAAGAGCTTCGCCGCGTGCTTGTCCGAGATCCTCCGCTTGCTCGACGTCTCCAAGTCTCTCAGCACCTCCGACATGGTGATGGTCGAGAAGCTCTGCGGCAGCAGGAAGAGCGTCAGCCTGCCAGCAAGCGCCCTGCTACTCTGACCGTAGAAGCCTCAGAGCCCTGAGAAGGCGCCACCGCTGAGTGCATTCTCCCACTCCTCAACCTGATTCCCCGCTGAGCAGAGGAGGGAGGGGAGAGGGCAGGGGCACGACCTGATCTCCGACGTCACCGACTCCGTCCTTCCTCGACCTAGAAACTCGGGCTGCAGGAAGGGCTCGAAGAACGAGTCTGACATGGCCCTCGGCCCGCCCACGTAGTTTGCAGAGAGAGGAGAAGGAATCGCCTCGTCGCTGCAGCACGGGAGCGTCAGCACGAGGTCAGGAAGGCTCGAGACCTGACCTGGTGATCTGGAACGAGGTTCGCGGCCTGATGAAGGAAGGGTCTGAACAAACATGAGGCAAGGAGGATCAGGGAGCAAGGACTCACGAGACTCGGAGGACTCCTCATGCTTCCCGTGCCCGTGTTTCTTCTGCATCATTGACATCCTCACCGACCTCGTAAGCTCTGATGATCTGCTTCTCAAAAAGGAAGTGCTCGGCCGATGCGGAACGTTGGGCGTCGAACTTCGCCATTGCGACATGATTAAACAAGGGGAGGGGCTGAGAATGATGTGAATTAAAACTCAACTCACAAGAGAACTCATTCACTTCCAAGACATCAAGCAACAATGGATGACAAACTGCATCTCCATCTGCTCTTCTTCTGACTCCCTTCTTCCATACTATCCACCCTTGTCACCCTTATAACACCATAGGCAACATTTGGCAACATGATGCAAATGTCGCAACATGTTCTTGTTCGTACCTGCAGCTCTTCTCTCACCTTCTCAGCTGCTACTGATCGCAAACTTGTCTTCTTCCCGCATTCAGCTGCTTCGCTTCCTCCACCCGGTGACCACGTTGACCTCGCTGTAGCTCAGAGGTCTCGAAGCCAACTGTGGTGCTCTAGCAGACCGTCGGAGCCTTGCGCTACCTCGTCGCCTGATCTGCCATGCCCTCAAAGTGTGGCTCTACACCGAGGGTCGAGTCGAGTCGCTGCCATACCATCTCGTCAGCAGATGTTTCAGTTCGCCATTCTTTCCTCCAGTCCATCACTGCATCTGCCTCATTCATTTCAGTTTCAACGCTCAGTGGACCTACCCGGCCGGGCTCAGCTGGCACCCCGGTGACCGCATGCCAGTCGGGCCGGACTCCGGCGCCGGGACGCCGGTGCCGGGCCGGCGCCGGTCGGACCGTGGGCCGCCCACTGAGCGGGCGGTTAAAAGTGTATTGAAAGTAAACATCAACCGTGAACGTTGTGTACGGTCACTAACGGCCATGTCCGATGCGGGAGCCTCATAGCATGCATAGATTGGACTGCCGCGGCCATTGAATTCTTCATAAAGACGACTACCCCCTTGACGTAGGCCCCGGCGGATGTAGAATGGCTGAATGGCGCCGGGCGTCCGCAGCGTGCTGGAATGGCCCGGCCAGATTTCACGGTTGGCGGGAAAGTAGTACCACGTTCAGCACTTTGTACCGAGTCATACTACGGTACATCAGCAATAATTATTTATAAACGCCGCATGTGAGTTAAATTAGTACCAAAACCGATATTTTCATACGTTTATATATATATATTAAAGTATTATTACTTTCCAAAATATTAGTATTGTCTACTTTATCCTATAATCATAATTATTAAGAGCGCATTTCTATCGAATAATAAAAGTGATCGTTTCAAGTGACGGACCAGGCGAATTAAATGTTTACTCAAAGTTAAGTTAAAAATTAGTACGAGGACAATGGGAACCGTTGTCGTTGGTGACCGGGGCGCTGTATATAACCCCACCCCATTCGAAACCTGATGTTGCCCATGAAATGTAGGGTACTCCACCTTCGGGGACATGCAGGGTGGTAGGTAGTCATGGAGTTAGTGGGGTAGGTCCTCAGCACCGGGGGTAGTAACCCCCATCGGTTGGGATTGTTGCTCCCCGTGTTCCCGATCCGACTCGACAGGTCCTCACCAACCCCAGACGCTTGATCGGTCGCTACAATTACACCTGGCTGTGAGACCCAACACCAATACATTACCTATTTCAATTAGTCTGTTTCCTATAAAATCTTTTTCCTTTGAATTCCTTCTTTCGGGCCCTGGTCTCTCTACTCTCAGCACGTCCTCTCTTTCCAGGCGCATTCAGACATGAACCCCTGGCAAACTACCACCCCCCAACTCCGACTGTGAAGAGTTGGTTATCCCGCCGGGCGGCCAGTCATGGATATGCTAGGGTAGGGTGGGCTTTTTAATTTTGTACCTTGTTTAGACGTCTTTTTATAAAATGTATATAAACTTTCAGTTATTATTATTGGATGTACGGATAGATGATTTAAAAGAATTTTCCTCCAAATGGATCGAAAGACAAAAGGGATGGAATTTTGTTTTGACGGGCAACAATCCCAAACAATGTCATTTCAGAAATCTTAAAATTAAACTTAATACTCTCTACAGGTAAATCTCAGTGATGCCGAACCGGCGGCAGCTGCGTGAGTGGCCCGCCGGGCCCCGAGTCCTATGTCCTATGACGGTCCTTACTGTCCTACGATTTTTACGACGAGGTCACACCCGCGGAACGATCAGTACTTTGTGAGTACCTCCCAGCATGGCCCGAGGAACTTCGATGGTGATGGCCATGGCGGCTGCGCTCGTAGCACTTATAGGAGTCACGGGGGGTCAGGGAGGAGGAGGAGGAGGAGGAGACGATGTGGTGGATGGTGTGTGCTCAGGCCGCGACCAAGAATGCTCGAAAGGTGAAGAGCCGCAAGGGATGGTGAGCAAGGGCAAGAAGTTTCAGTGCATGGTGGAGCATGGGGTAGACTATCCCGGTGATGGCTTCAATGGAGACCTCGCGGTGTTCCACCATGTTCCTTCTTTCAGAGAGTAAGTGGATGGGTCCAACTCTTGCTGATCGTCGAGCGATGATTCCCTTCCTGCAGGTGCTGCAAGCTTTGCAAGAGAGACGACCGGTGCCAGTTCTGGACATGGGCGACGCCGAAGAGACATCAGGCGTACGATTGCTGGCTGAAAGATGGCTCTGTGGAAGATTACCGCGTGAAGAACGAGTTCTCCTCCCTCCTGGTGTCAGGGTACGTGCTGAGGAACGAGACTGTACAGCAGGCTTCCCGACGAGCACGAGAGAAGGAGCTGGAAGAGAACAACAGCGAGCCAGGCAAGAACAGGATGGCTCGTAAGGAGGTAAACATGCCCCTTGCTCTACTTCCTCTCCCTCCCTTCCTCTCGCTCTCTGTCGTTCCTCCTCCCTGCTGCTCCCTTCTTTCCCTCTTTCTCTCGTTTTCCTGGTCGATGTCTCATACACTGCGGCAGGCGGATAAAGTGATCAGCCATGCTCGGGGTCTATTGCAACAGGGAAGGGCGGCAGAAGCGGAGGCAATGCTGAGGGAGAGCTTCAAACAGCACAGCAAGACAGGCCCCTACTACTACTGGCTCGGTGTGTTCCTGGAGGCGCAGCAGAAGATGGAGGAGGCGGCAGCGAAACTCAAGGTCTGCTATCAGCAGCGATGACGCAGCGGAGGTGGTAACATGATGGCAGAAAGCGACGGAGAGGACAGATTTGAAACCCTTCCAGAAAGTGAGCAGGAGGAGAGGAAGGGGGGGAGGAGGGAAGGGAAGGTGGAATGGATGGAGGAGGTATGAGGAGAGGGTGAGATAGAAGGACGATGGGTGAAGGGGAGAGGAGCGAGTGAGAAGGGAGGGAGGGAGGGAGGCAGAGGTGGAGTTGAGGTAGGAGAGCTGAATGGGTAAAACTCTTCTTGCTCAGGCTGTTGCCCACAACATGATGGGAAAGATCTACCAACATCGCATGAAGAAGCGCACGGATGCTGAGATAGAGTATCGAAACAGGTGTTCTTTTTGATGGATTAATTGGGATGATGATGGTGGTGATGATGATGATCACAACTACCAAAGGGATGCTGATGGAACTAGTCTTGACATTGACGTCGATGTTTGTGTGCTCGTTGGTATGATTTTGTTCTTTGCAGCATCCAAGTCGTTGAGAAAGCAAAACTCAATTTCCTTGCCCCCTACGAGAATCTTGGAAGACAACTAGAGAAGGATGGAAGAGCGCGAGGTAGTTTCCTCAAGCCTTTGATCGACTTGCTTGGAGGGCGAAGAAGGAGCGGGAGGATGGAAGAGGGGGAAGGATACATGGGTTGACAGTGAAAGGGAGACGGGAGGAAGGGGGAGCGAGAAGGGGAGGAGGAGGAGGAGGAGGTGGTGGTGGTGGTGGTGGTGGTGACTAGAGAAAGGATGGGTGTGAGTTTGGGGGGGATGAGCTGAAGGAGGGAGAGGTACTAGTGGTGTGGGTATTGGTCATGGTAGGAAGTGCTAAAGGTTGGCAGGAGAGTTTTACCGTTGTTCTGCTTTGCAGAGGCTCAGGAGCTCTTGGCCTTTGTGGCGAACTCCACAAACAACGACGGGCTACTGTGAGTACGAGGAGGTCACGGGAAAACAAGAAAAGGATGCGAAGAGGGAATGAGAGGGGATTGATCTGAGAATCAGGAGAGTGATGATGATGATGATGATGATGATGATGATGATGACGACGACGACTACAACGACAACGACAACGATGATGATGATGATGATGATGATGATGATTATGATGATGATGATGATGATGATGAGGAGGAGGAGGAGGAGGAGGAGGAGGAGGAGCTGCAGCAGGTGGAGCAGGAGGTCAATATTTCACACTTGAGCAGGCTTTACTCTATGTTGCTTTTGCCTTATGTGTACGAGGACGAGGAAGACATCCTCGCTTGGAGGAATCAATTTCAAACCAACCTCAAGGTGACCATCTCCACTCCAATCATCGCTGCTGATGCTGCTGCTGCTCCTCTTCCTCCTCTCGTCTCTCGTCTCTCGTCTCTCGTCTCTCGTCTCTCGTCTCTCGTCTCTCGTCTCTCGTTCTCCCCCTCCTCTTCCTCCTCCAAACTCCATCCGGTGCAGGCACTAGAGCAAAGAAACCTCCTCATCAAGAATCCCATCGGCATGGAGGGAGTTCCTCAGTACTACCTCAGCTATCACGGTTACAATTCACTAGCTTTCTGCTTTCTCTTCAGCTTCTTCCTCGCCCTTCTCCTATCCCCTTCAACTAGCTCTTGCCCTTGCTGCCTTCCCTCCTGTTCCTCTCGTTCTTACTCCTTCCTCCCTCAGATGGCTCACTGCCTCCCTCTGCTCCTCTGCTCCATTCATTCACCTATCTACTCCCTCCTTTCGTCTTTCCTTCCTCTACCTTGTTCACCTCTTTTCCTCCCCTTCGCTTTCACTCGATCTTTGTCAACTTCTTCCTGACTCTCTCTCTCCCCCTTCTACCTTCTCCTCTCCTTCTCCCTCTCCTTCCCTCTCCCTGACTCACACCCGCAGGACGTAACGACGCGTCCATCAACGCCGCCATCGCGCGGCTCTTTCGCAAATCAGCTCCTTCCGTCGCCTTCCGCGCCCCTCACACTCTCGTTCGCCTCCTCCTGACACTCTAGAGTTCACTCACTGACAGCACAGAGCTACCAACCCCCAGCTGCTGGCCAGCAGATCCGCGTTGGCTTCATCTCGCTCTATTTCCGGCAGCACTCAGTGATGTCAAAGTTTGACAGGAGGGTGTCAAGCTGAAGGGATGCAGGTAAGTAAAATGATCCTCGGGCTGCTGAAGGGCCTGCCAAGAGAAAACTTCTACACGGTAAGGGAAGAGAAGGAAGAAAGAAGAGTAGGAGGAGCGAGGCGAGAGGAAGGCGAGAGCAGGTAGGAGGACAGGAGCAAGATCAGAGGAAGGTAGGACCTAGGTAGGAGGGAGGAAGAGGCTATTTGACGTTTGGAGATGTTCAACTTGCGTTTCTTGAATGTTGCACACAACAAATGGGACGTGATGGTGGTTAAAGTTGTGAGATGATTGCGATGATTGACAAGCAATGCTTCATGTCTGATGCTTCTCCAAGCCCTGATACATCCTGACATCTCTTTCTCTCTCAGGTCATGTTTCAAATCCGCGACATTGACTCCATGACGACCAAACTTGCAAGCTACGTCACCAAGATGGTGAAAGACATCAACGGGACAACATTTGACATCTCTGACTTGTCCTGTCCTGTCCTGTCCTGTCCTGTCCTGTCCTGTCCTGTCCTGTCCTGTCCTGTCCTGTCCTGTCCTGTCCTGTCCTGTCCTGTCCTGTCCTGTCCTGTCCTGTCCTGTCCTGTCCTGTCCTGTCCTGTCCTGTCCTGTCCTGTCCTGTCCGTGTCCGTGTCCTGTCCTGTCCTGTCCTGTCCTG